CCTTCGGCCGCGCCGCCGCCGCGGTTGTGCGTGGCATCGCGCCGCTGCGTTGATGTGGCCCCCGCCCTGCCCGGCGGGGAAAGGAGGAGGAGAGGCAGAAGCAAAAAAAAAAAAAGTCAGGCGCGGGTGCGGTGGGAAGCGCTGCGGGCGCAGCGAGGGAGACCACGCAAACAAAAAAAAAAAACCGCCACGGAACCTTCCGCCCCGCCCTCCGTTTGCTCCCGGCGGCTTCTTCGCCCGCCTCTCACGCCCGCGCGGCCCCGTCGGGGAGCGCGTCCTCGGCGCCCCACAACTTCACAAACCGCACGGCGTCCAAGTCCCACTCGCGCGGGGCATCGCCGCCGCCCACAAGCGCGAGGGCCTCCCGCACGAGCGGCTCTAAATATTTCGTCGCCACGCCGGGGGAGCCGTTGATCTCCAGCAGGAGGACATTCAGCCGGTCGTCGACGAGGAGGTCGTAGCCAAAGAGCTGGAAGCAGCGGTACGGCGCGTCGGGCGGCAGCTCCAGCTCCTCCCGCACCGCCAGCAGCGAGCGCACGATGATGTTGCTGACCTGCGGCAGAATCCGCGCGCCGAGGACGTCCTCCGCGTAGACCCCACGCAGGTACGCCGCGAGCTGCGGGAACCAAACCTCGTTGCCGCCCTCGTGCTGCCCAAACTGCGGGGAGCCCTCCTGCAGGCAGTGGTTTGTTAGGTGCGCCAGCGTGTTGCCGACGTCGTCAGCGTCGTACGGCACGCTCGAGGTGCGGCAGCTGCCCTGCGCAAAGGCGTAGATGTCGTACGGGGCCGTGAGAAAGGCCCACACGCGCAGGTCAAACTTCCTGCCGCGGTACAGGAGCGGGCGGTCCACGTAGCGCTGCGCCACGAAGATGCTGTGGCTGCTCGGGTCCAGCGCCCCGATGAACGCCGCGACGCCAGCGGGGCCGCGCGTGAGCAGGATGTCCTTCCCTTTGCTGCCGCTGCTCGGTTTGATGATCCACGCCGCCCCCGGCCGCTGCTCCGCCAACTGCAGGAAGGCCTCCCTATCGTCCGGCCGCTTTCGCTGGTCGCCGCCCAGCACGAAGGAGGTCGGCATCCACTCGGCGTGCGTGGCGTCCGCGGCGGAAATGAGCCGCGCCATCGACGCCTTCAGCGTCAGTCGGTGCGAGCCGCGGAAGTAGTTGATGCAGCGGTACCCGCCGTACCGCGAGGTCGCCGGCAACCGCTCGCAGCGCAGCAGCGCGTAGGGAATCGAGAAGCGGTCGCCCAGGACGAGGTCGCAGCGCACGATGCGCCCCTTCGACCGCGTTTCGCGCCACCCCAACTGCCGCAGCTGCCGCGCCATCTCTTCGTAGACGCTGAAGGCGGAGTCGCCCAGAAAGAAAAGCGGCGCTGGCTCCTCTTCTGCTTCGCTTTGCCCTGTGTCTTGGCGGCGCCCCTGCCGCTGCTGCTGCTCCTCGTCGTCGTCCTCCTCCTCCTCCTTCAGCGGCGGCGGCGCACCGGCACCCGCGCCGGCGATCGAGGGCGACGTCGGTTCCTCATGCATCCCGCTGCCCCACCCCCTTGGGGACGCAGAGGCAGGGACGCAAGCCCCGTGAGAAGCAGGGAGACAAAAAAAAAAGAGGGGAAAGAAGAAGGACGGGTCGGTGCAAGCAAGAGGTTTGCGACGGGCCACGCACACATCTGTGGCCTGTTCCTTTTTTTTTTCCTCTCGAACTTCCCTCTCGCTTTGTGGGCATGTGCGCAGAAAAGAGGGAGGGAGGGGGGAGAGCTGCTGCCGCCGCCGCCGCCCTGGTTTCCTCTGCCTTGTTGGCTGGCCGCGCTTATGTATTCCGCTTCTTCGCCTCCTCTTCGTCGCTTTCCTCCCTCCTTTGCACCTCGCGGCTGCTCATCCACCGCGTTACGAGCGACTTTTTCTTCCTTCTCTTTTTTTCCCCCTTTCTTCTTCCTTGTTCCTTCTCTCTCTTAGCGGCGCCCGCGGCTCACGCCGCGCCGTACAACTTCACCGTCCCGTCGGTCGAGCAGCTGACGAGGCTCCGCGCGTCCGCGCCCCAGCAGACCGCGGTGACGGGCTGCAGGTGCGCGCTGAGCGTCGCCAGGCCCCGCAGCGCCGCGTCGTCCCGGTCGAAGAGGCGGACGTCGCTCGCCGCCACCGCGAGGTACGTGCCGCTGCCGTCGAAGGCGACGACGGGGACTTCGGCGCGGGGGGCGGAGGAGGCCGGCGCAACGGTGTGCAGCGGCGCAGACATCTTCCGCAGGTCCCACACGAGCGCCTTGCCGCCGCGCAGCCCCGTCGCCACGGTGAAGCAGTCCGCGCTAAACGCCACGCTGCAGACGCCGCCCTCGCCGCTCAGCGAGACCAGGGAGTCGACGCACATCTGCCGCGTGTTCCAGATGCAGAGCCCCCCGCCGTCTACTCCAAGCGCCGCGAGGGAGCCGTAGGGGTGGACCCCCAGACACGTGAAGGCGGCAAGCTCCTCCGCCGCCGCCGTGGTGGTCGCGACGGACTCCATGCGATCCACGTCGGCAAGCCCGATGCGGGCCGCGCTCGCGGAGAGGAGCAGGTGGCCCGCCATGACTCCCCCAAGGCCCACGACGCCGTCCTCGTGCTGGCGCACGACGCCCTGGCAGAGCAGCGCCCCCGCCTCGCAGCTCCACACGCGCAGCGTGGCGTCGTCGGACGCCGACACGACACGGAGGGCGCCGCCGGCGTCGTACGGGACAACGTAGCGCACGGCCCGCTCGTGCCCGAGGCCCGTCGCACACACGCGGCCGTTTGACGCGTCGTACTGCGCCACCGTCGCGTCGTCGGCGCCGACGAAGACGGTGTTGTCCGCGGCGAAGGCGGCGGCCCACACGCTCCTCCCGACCTCGATGGAGCCGTCCTCAACGAAGTCCCGCACGCTTTGGGCGGAGGCCAGCGACGGCGGTGCCACCCGCGTCTTCCGCCGCACGCGCTGAAGGGCGTCGTACTCGCCCAACTCCCTCAACGCGGCGTCCAGCAGCGTCGACCCCGCCCCGCCGCCGCTGTTGCCGTTGTTGCTGCTGTTTTTGTTTTTGTTGCTGTTCTCGCTGCCCTCTCGCGACGCCCCGCCCGCCGCGTCCCGGTCCTTGATGAACGTTGCAATCACGCGACAGGCGGACTCGTACTGGTGAAGCGCCTGCGCCAGCTCCTGCTGCGTCTGGGCGAGCTGCTGCCGCAGCGAAAACTGCTCGAGCATGATGGCGTCCCACTGGGAGTGCAGCTTCGCCAGCAGGCCCGGAACCGTCTCGCCGCAGGGCGACGGTGCACCGCCCCCGCCCGCTGCTGCAGCCGCTGCCGCTGCCGGCTTCAACGCCGTCAGCCGAACCGCGATGAGGTCCTCCTTCCGCAGCGGCTCGCCGGTGACGGGGCACCTGCCGTGCTCGGCGACGTACTGCTCGATCAACGAGCGCTCGTAGAGGCACCCGGAGAGCCGCGAGACCACCGGCTCGTGCGGCACACGGTTCGACATACAACAAAACATGACTGCCCGTCTCTGGGCTTGTGTGTTACTGGGGTTTCCCACCACCGGCGATCTCGCAAAGAAACACGCGCCAACAGAGACACACGTAGAGAGAGAGAGAGAGGTTTGGACAAGAAAGTCGACAAAGAAAAGGCAACTATACTGAAAGCAA